ATGTAGGAGTGTGCTCTGTAAAGGTCCTACTGATACGGTGGAGTGTCATCCTGCTTTTCAATTTTGAGCGCTGATTAGGTAACAGGATAGGGTCATCTTTCCATAATGCATCATTCAGAATGCAGTCCCTAGGAAAGCAAAAACAAAAGAAGAGGACGTTATTTTTTGTTGAGAACTCTTCAGGGGACCATTAGGCATGTAGCTCCGAGAACCGTTTTGGGTGTCTCATTGGTTTTGTTCTTCATGACTGGTGGGGTAAAAATATCCCAGTCACATTTTAATTACTAAGGTTGAGCAAGCTTTGGTCGGCTGCTACAACTAGTCCAAGTCGAACCCGCTTTTAAGAAAAAAAGAAAAGCTCGACCACGTTCAGACTGCTGCTAGCTAGCCTAGGCTGCTAACAGTACTCCGCCTTATGGTCTATTTGCGAGTTGTGACATACCTGCCTTTTCTTAATTTAAACCGCTCGTCCTGCAGGTGCAGTCTTCCTTTTATTGATCTGGCTATTAGTCGAGGAAGCAAACATATTTATTGTTTTAAAATTTTGAGTATTTTAATTTTCCAAAAAGTACTGATGAATGTGGAAATGTGTCCGCGTTGACCATAGTGGTCTTATAGTTGTCTTCCTGTAATATAAGTCGTGTATTGGATATGTGTGTGGGAGTTTGTGTGGAGTCTTAAGCGAGTCCAGTCGTCATTTGTTATTATGTGAATAGCTAGCTCCGGTGTACGTAAATACCATATAACCGGACCGTCCAGCTCACGCTTTGAGATCCAAATGATCCATGAGAATTGTTGTGGCATGATGGGCAACGAACTCAAGTGCTCTCAGTGGGAATGGGTTGGGGGTTAAACTCATAGTGCATCCGAAAGATTTAGGGAAAGGTGGGGGGAAGGGGAGCGGAAGGCCATTCAGTCAATTCTCGTCGTTGCCGTCTTGCTGGATTCTAGCGTGGCTTTTTGCCGGGACCATGTGTATCACGTTACCAACCTTTGCTATCATCCCAGTGATGGGGTGGTATTGGAGGCTATGCGTTCTAGTCCTGTCATTATCGAGTCACTTGTATTCCCTACTTGTTGTCAGTCATATTTTTGTTACGAGTCCTGTCGGTCATGTGCATGTTGTATGCATGTTGTGGAGTGGGATGGTTTTGTTTATGAATCCCCGGAGTATATGGACGCACCCAACTAGGTGTATGCGTACATGCACTCGAGTACTCATACATGCAGACAACACTACATATTTGTACGTCCTTTCATACTTATCCGTATATGCATACCTAATTGACATTACGTACACACGCAAACTCTTTCATATGCGTTTACCAATGCCTGTGCTTACATTCATTAAAAAAAAAAAAAAAAAAAAAAAAAAAAAAAAAACCAGTACATCCACACGTAGTGATATTCACTCTTCCATGTCTTATGTGTTTTGTGTCGCTTTGTCTGTAATTTCGTCTGGTCGTGTCACTTTTAAGTTATGTCCTGTTACTGGTATGTGACCTGTCTGGTACTGACGTATCATGTTTTGGTGGATAGTGTGCGTTGATGACGTTCTTGCTGCTTACACCCTTCATTCCATTTGTTCTCATTAATGAACAGACATACAGCAACACAGTTTATGATTTCTTTGATTGCACTGTCATTCATACACTCACAAATATATTAGTATACACGCTCTCATATATATACACACATGCACACTCGTACACACATATACATGCATACAGTAATACATTTAATTCCATGTACTCATTCATCTGTACCTTTCGCACAACTATATTCCCACTGTTCCGTCCACATATGATTCCATACCATCCACCTACATACACTGTGTCTTATGTATCCATCCTATACACAAATGCACTCATACTACACGCACTCATCCTTGTGTATGTGTCCATGTTCACATCTATGCACTCATCATACTTACACTATCTCTCTGACTCTAGGATGTTCGGGGTTACCATCTCATCAGTTCCTTCTGTTATACTGAGTAAATCCCATCTGGTCTTTTTAGTTTTGATTTGTTTAATAAGGTATTGTTTAACCAGTTTTTGGATGTCTTTATTGCTTTACATTTAAACATTTGTTTACAGTAATTTGTTGTTTGCGTTTTATATAAAAAAGCTTGTGTGATGGGTTTCCTTTCCAATTTATACTTAGTGCAGGGTATTATATAAGCTCTAGAGTATTATCTTGAAAGCAGTCCAGACATAGTGGAGATGTAAATTTCTCTGGGTGCCATCCTAATCTAGCTCTCCATAGAAGTTTGTTGGCTGGAATTTTCAGTTTGTCCCGTACCTGTGTGTTAAGCTGGGCTCTTTAAGGTTATTGTAGGCATCTCTGCATTATTGCTCCTTTGCCATTGCAGTTTCCACATTTTAATTATATGTCGTTTGATTATGCTGGTCCTTTCTGTTTTTCCAAGTCCTACATCTATTAAAAAACATCACATTTTGCTCCCTTTTTGGCTTTGTCAGCTTTTTCATGCCAATTAACCTCTGTGTGCTGGTACCCATGCAATGGTGACTTGGCATCCTTTATTCTGAGCTGAGTTGTTAGATTCAGGATTGTCTCTTTAATATCTGGTCTACTGTTAGTTTTATGTGTTTTTAACGTCTGCACCGAGGACAATGAATCTGTCGTTATTAATTACCATCTCTAGTGCCTTCATAATGCCGACTAGTTCTGCTGTGCATACTGCCACATGATCTGTTATTTTATATTCTCTTTGTATGTTCCACTGTGGGATTTACTCCTGCTCCTACTTCTCCTGCTTCATTCTTTGATCCGTCAGTGTATGCAACCAGATTGTCTGATCGGATCTGGTCTATGTATTCTTCTGTTATTGCCAATGGCGTATTAGTCCCTTTAATCAAATCACGGTCAAAGTTGTTCTATCTTCACCATTACATTCAGCTCTCCCTAGAGCCTCTCTAGAGTCCTAGCTAAGTCCCTCATCATCGTTAAATTTCTAGTGCAGCGTCCCAGGCTGCCCCTGTCACCTAGGTGGGTAATGTTATGATGAAAAGCGTCTGAAGCTGGGTGTCATCGTTGGCCGCTTTCCAATAGCTATAAGTTAGTTGTTTCCTTCTGTGATGCCTAGTGCTACCTCCATGGCCTCTCTCGATGTCCCTTTGCCAGCGCCCATGATGGAAGTCAGGGCTTGGCCTGCTACACCTCTTAGTGTTCTAAATATATGAAAAGTTAGCGGATGTCCTAGAAACGCTATTCAAGTTTGGTTTAAGCAGTGCATCGCAGCTTTTTTCTTCTGCCTTTCTATCCCCCAATGGCGTATAGTCCCTCAACCAAATCACGGCACAGTTGTTCTATCCTTCACCATTACATTCAGCTCTCCCTATGCCCCCCACCCCATCTTTCTAACTTCATTCTCCAGCTCTCTTCGCTATGTGCTTTTTGCCTTCCTTTTTTCCTATGCCCCCACCCCCGAATCATATCTCCCTCTCCGAAGGATTGAAAAATCATCACTTGGTGAAATTATTTAAACAGAAATAGATAAAAAATGAGAACTTCAAAATAATGTTTTAAGCTCTCTCAGTTAACAGTGTATGGTATCAACACCCCCCCCCCCCCTTTTTTTCCACTAATCATATCATCCTCTCCGAAGGATTTGAAAGTCATCATGTGACGAAATATTGTAACTAAATTGAGCTGGGCGTCCGTGTCCACCCAGACAAAAATGGGTAGCAGTAATTTGTACTGAGAAGTAAATGTGGCCAGTGTAACAGTTACTACATCACACATCCAGTACCAGTACTACTGCTACCACTACCACCATCACCATCACAACAACAATAACAACTGTCACTACAGTCTGTGTAGGTCGGTGTAGCCAGAGGTGTTAGCGCCGCATGCTGTCGCCACTGACTATTTAGTTTAATTTTGCCCCAGACATAGAAAAAAAAAACGTCATCACCTAAACAGTGATGGAACCCACAGTAAAAAGTGCATCAATCAATATCTCATAGGAAGACCTTTTGCTTTCACTTCAGATTGTTTCATGTGTAGCACCTGCGCTTGGTCGTTGTTCTGGTTGCATTCTTGCTACATGTTCAAACCTTTTTTCTCGAAAAATTGGCTGCAAGGTGTTCCCACAGTCTTGTCTCCTGTTTACCCAGTATACTGTATATTCTTCTTCATCATTACCATCATCATAAACCACTTCTGCCGTTAAGCTTCATAGGGAGGAATAATTTGCGATCCAGTGCACGTTGGCTGCCACTGGCTATTGTCATGCCGTGAAGGCGTAGAGTGTTTTTAATGTTGTAGATCCATGTTTTCCGCGGCCGTCTTCTTGCTCTTGTAGTTGATCTTCTGAGATGTAGTGCTTGTGATGTTATTTGATCTTGCTGCATTCTAACGAGATGGCCAAACCACTTGATCTGCTGTTTCTTGGTGAATCTAGTACAAGGTGTCGTTCCCACAATTTGCCTGAAAGTTTCATTATTCACTCGATCTCGTATGGTTAGGTTGGCTGCTTTTCTCAGGCACCTCATCTCGCAGGTGGTCATTTTGCGTATATGAGCTTTAGATAGTGTCCATGTTTGGCACTGGTAGCTTAATGTTGGAATGAATATGCTAATAATAATCTGTCTCTCTGTACTCATAGTTATGCTTGGATGTCTTAATAATGGTGACAATTGGTATATAAGTACACTTGCTTTCTGACATCTGGTTTTCTATTTCTCTGTCAATTCTACCATCTTCTGTGATCATACTTCCTAGATATTTAAACTCCTACTAACTTGCATTGTTTCGGTTTTGTTTACATTGACTTTCATGTTGTATTTACAACATGCTGAGTGTAACCTGTTAATGTGGTCTTGCAGTCTATGTTCTGTATATTCTGGATGCGCAATATTTACGTGCGAATAGCAACAATTTTACGACATCGCTACCGGTTTTCTCCGAAGGTTCTAAACGTTCTGACTTGTAACGGGTATCAGCGTGCTTTTTTTACATAGACGGCTACGAAAATGGTAACAGTTATTGTTGGTTTCACTGTTGGTCGATATTATTATGGTTACATTAAAATGGTAACAGGCATATATACACACCCTCGCAAAGTTACAAGTTAGCAGTAATTCAGGTTACAAGGTAACGATAAGTATTTTGGTAAACTGGCGTTCCATCGCCATCGTGTTTCTAACGACAATATGGCAGCGTTGAAATGCCGGTAAGAGAGTTGAGAGGTTGAACTTAGCAAATCATCGCTTCCACATACGCGAGCAGCTAGTAACTCTTACTCATTGCTCATAGTAATTTGATATGGCCATTTATATTCATATCGTACACAGAATATTGTATATCCACGCATCTTATTCATAACTTTATATTCAGGTCTGCACTCTGCAGTAAATCTAGCTACTTCAGTCAAATTTTTAAAATGCCCTCTACACCAATAAAACCAGCACAGTTAGATAGCTGTAAACAATCTCTTTCCAATGGTACCTCATTTAGGCTTGTATGTCATTTCTGAGCTGAGATATGTAGGTTTTTGTGGGGATGAGATGTAAGAAACAGCCGCTAAAACTTGTGACCCAGAAACAAGAAGTTTTTTTACTGCGCAACCTACTGCGCAGTTCTGTATCGGCTTTGTTGACATTGGAGTGTCATTGGACAAGATGGCAGGCAGTGAGACTCAGCTCACTCAGCCGCATGTGATTGCCTAAAAAATGTCACTGTAAATCTAAACAGCCAGAGTCGGGAAAAAAAATTCAATATGCAAATGTAAAATTGGACGGAGAATTCAATTGTAACTAGCATTACCACAACTGGTAATGTTTAAGCCTAAAGCCAACCTCGAATTTACCGCTATTTTCAATCAAACTGATAGACTAACAGAAAAACAGAGAATGTCCGGCTGTCGTAGACATGCGCTGTTAATCGGGTTCCTTCCCGCCGTTTTCAGCTATTTAGAGTGGGTGAAAATCACACCAATGGCAAAATTTCATGAGAGATTAGGACCCATCCCGAAACCCCAGCCGACATTTCCGAAACAAGTTTTAAACGGTTTCTATGGTAACGGAAATTGTCGAAAAGATAGCAAATTTCCGAAACTGTGGTCCCTAGTAAATCAATGAAATTTGGTTGTGGGTTTCGTCTGGCACACAGTCAGCAACCTTGGCTGTAACTGTAATACAATACTGTAATATCAAATGGGTGTCTCGCACTGGCTGTTGTTACATTCTGACTTTCTCAGATACCATATCCTATATCTTGATGTTATCTTATCCATCACATAGATACTTTAGTAGTCAAATTTTCAAAATGCCCTCTACTCTCTACACCAATAAAACCAGCACATTAAGATAGCCGTAAACAATCTCTTTCCAATGGTACCTCATTTAGGCTTGGTATGTCATTTCTGAGCTGAAATATGTAGGTTTTTGTGGAGATGAGATGTTAAAAAAACAGCTGTTGAAAACTTGCGTCCCAGAAACAAGAAGTTTTCTCTGCGCAACCAAACTGCGCACTTATTGTTTTGGCTTTGTTTGCATTGGACAAGATGGCAGACAATGAGACGCAGCCACATAATAGCGATTGCCTGAAAAATGTCACTGTAAATCTAAAAAGCCACTGATAAGAAAGAAATGTTATATACAAAACAAATGTAAAATTGGACGGAGAATTCAATTATAACTAGCATTACCAGTACGAGTAATGTTAAAGCCTAAAGCCAACCTTGAATTCATACTTACCGCTATTTTCACAGCCATGATTATATCGGAATAATAGCGATTGCCTGAAAAATGTCACTAAATCTAAAAAGCCACTGATAAGAAAGAAATTATATATACTTAGTCGCTCTTCTTCTACCTTGGGGTGTAGAGGTTTGCCAGAGAGATCACCAGACGTCTCTATCAGCAGTTTTCTTTCTGGCTTTGTTCCATTCCAGTCCTCTGTCAGTTAGGGACTGTCGGATGTTGTCTTCCTAGCGCATCCTGGAGGTCTGGTTCCCTGGTTCTTAGCCTCCCATGCCTGCCATGGTGGCCGATTTTCTCCCATTCTGCACACATGTCCAAACCATCGTAACTGTGACTGATCCACTCGGGTTTGTAAGGGCTGGGTATCAAGATCTTGACGTATTGTCTGATTGCGGACTTTGTCCCTTCTTGTCACTTGGACCACCTTTCTCAGATATCTCATTTCCGAGGCCTGCAGCTGGCTTCTGTGAGCTGTTGTCATTACCCATGACTCACACCCATAGGTCAGGACTGGTACATAGGTGGAGCGGTAAACAGCCATTTTCGTCCTCTTGCCAATTTCTCTTTTGCTAAGAAACCCTCTGTTTATGGCCTGGAAGAGTCTCCCAGCAGCTGCTTTTCGTGTAGCCAGCTCAGTCTTAATGCCTCCATTTCGGTCTAAACAACTCCAAGGTATTTGAATTGGTTAACCTGCTCCAATGCATACTGTCCCATCATGATCTGGTGTTTCTTCTCCTCTCATGGGATCACCATGGTTTTAGTTTTGGAGATACTGATGGTCATCCCTCTCTTTTCAAGCTCTTCCTTCCAGACAAGTAAGTTGGACTGAAGGTGTGCCTCTGATTTAGCTATCAGGGCCACATCGTCTGCAAATGCCAGCTCTGATATACAGATTGGTCTCATCTTCCAGTACCCTACAGAGTACTTCGTCTTCTCCTCACAGGTCTTGACATCATCCATCATAAGAATGAAGAGGTAAGGTGAGAGAATATCACCTTGTCTAACACCGCTGGTGGTCTTAAATTCTTCTGACTTTTGGTCTGCTGTTCAAATGTAAAATTGGACGGAGAATTCAATTATAACTAGCATTACCAGTACGAGTAATGTTAAAGCCTAAAGCCAACGTTGAAAACTTACCGCTATTTTTAATAGAACTGATGTAACAGAAAAACAGAGGACGTCCGGCTGTCGTAGGCATGCGCTATTAATCGGGTTCGTTCCGGCTGTTTTCAGCTATTTATAGCTGGTGAAAATCACACCAATTGCAAAATTTCACGACAGATTGGGACCCATCCCGAAACCAGCCGACATTTCCCAAACAAGTTTCGGACGGTTTCCATGGTAACGGAAATTGCCGAACACCGTAGTCGCTACATCACACTTGTCTGCCTTTTGTTTGGCCTTGTGCTCTATGTCCGATTCTTCTCTTTTGGTGTATAACTGTATATATGATATGCTGTGTATGGTATGGAAGAAAGACTGAAAAATATTTATTGGCTAGAATACAACAAGACCATTTGAAATGGCTGTTCAACATGCAGAAGGTGTAACATGGAAATAAATTCAGCTAAAACTGAGGTTATGCAGGTTAGCAGAATTCTTAGTCTGTTACATATCATATAGGGTTGAATGGTACATGTCTGAAGCAAGGGAGAGCATTTACATATCTAGGAAGTACATTTTTGGAGGTTATGTGAAAAAATAGTGAAACAGAAACAAGATATCAAATAGCCAGTGCACACAGACTCACTAATGAAGATTGGGGTTGCCAGATGTTCTTGCACAATACCAGTTTTATGAAATAAAAAATGCTCTCAGGATACATATTTCTCCCAGATTTAAAAAAGACTTCAACTAAATTTATCTCTCAGTAATTATAACTAATTCTACAATTTCAGATTCCTCTGCTGAAGTTTCATTTCAGTTTATCTCTGTTGTAACTTTAAAGGAAATAGTTGTCAGCCAACTTTTTTGGTAACACTGACTTTGATTTGCGTGAAATAAGAGATAGTTTTGTGCTTTATCACTTAAATCGATAAATTTTTGGAATCTTATTAAAAGATTTCAAAATATCATGTTTAATGTTAATTCCAAGAATCATATTCAGTAGAATAGATATTCATAAAGTATGGAAAAAATGACCACCAAGTATACACGCATTTCTGTTTCACATAATGGAAGTGACGACATTAAGCAAGCACTTCAACATAAATATACAGTTATTTTGTACATAAGCCACTGAAACAGTAAACCAGTTATATAGTATACTGTTGTTTCATATCTCATAATGTTCAGTGATAGCTACTCTGCTCTATTTTTGATATAAAATGGCTTTGTTTGGCTCTCTAGATGTCACTGAACCCAGTTCAGATTTTACGCTATGGAGCAGAGGAGGAGAAGTCTGAGATTGCCCGCCTGGTAAGCTTTTTTTGTTTTGTTAAAAAAATAAAATTTTAAAGTTTAAAAATAATTTTTATTGTGCATATTTTGAGATAATTTTACTTCATTGCACCAGCTTTTATACCATCTGATTTGACCTCTGCCTGTTAAGTTTTGTGCAGAGCATGAACTCTGTAGCTTCAGCGATGGTACCCAAGGATGAGAAAAACTGCAAACCTGAAGCAGGTGCTGCAATTTAGGAAAAAATAACTCTTAACCTCTAGATTGCAAGGCAAACTGGATTTGGTAATAGGTTGCAATGTCTGCCTCTTGGTTGTACATACCTGGTTTATTTCATGACCTGCAGTGTGATCTTTTTGTAAAACATGTAAAGGATTGATCCTGAGCTAATGTATCAGATATCTAGCTTTCTCATGAAAGAGGATCATCAGTCTGCCTGTTGCATTTGTTGTTACATATAAAAATTCTTTAGCAGTTGCAAATCAAATAGAGCAGGACAAATAAGTGACATGAGGAATTCTACCTAAAGAAAGCAAGTGGGCGGTTCTGTACAAGCATTCACTTTACAACAGGTGTCTAGATGCTCATCTGCTGGCCTGAAGATTTAGGGTTGAAATCTGCATGCATGAAGATTTTTCTCTCAAAAAAGATGTAGTTCCCAGACTGACCTAGCCTAAAACGGATACCAGGGACTATCCTTGGGAATAAAGGTGGCCGGCAAGATGCTACTCAACCTATTGTGTATCGATTGGTGTATAAAAAAAATAAGTCTACACCCTGTATGCCGATGCATCAGAGGTGTGAAAAAGGTCCTCTACTTGCCTAACATGTGACATATTGCAACTGAAGTCGCTCATTTGTTGGCAACAGTTCACCAGTCGCGTTGGAAGCAAATAGTTTGTGGTGGGCGATATCTGCAGCAATGAACATCAAAGACTTGACCTGCTGAAAAAAAAAATAGTTTGTTTACATATGGTTTTTATTTGTTCAACTCTGTTTAAACTTGGAATTGATTATTTTTTTTTCAGTCATCGTTTGTTGGCGCTACTGCCATTGGTGATTTGGTGAAAAGTACCTTAGGACCTAAAGGAATGGTGGGTACCTCTTACAGACTATCTGATTGTTTGTAGTCATGGTGAAGTAAATATCATCAGTGTGCTTTATGTCTCTGTAGGCTCCTCAGGGAATGAGTGTATGGGTCACATTCTGAGTAAATCATGGCCAGACTTTGTCCCCAGTGAATGTGAACTCAAAAATAGCAGGAATGCCAACAGTAGCTAACCTTTTTCAGATCGTGCCCCCCTTGAGTATATGGTAAGACTCCCACCTTCCCATGGAGGGAGTAAAAGGCAGGACTCCAGCGCCCACAGTAACAAAATATGACTAAAAAAAGGACAATAGATTCCTCCACAAGTGAACAGACAATATGGAGATAGTTTTGGTCAGAATGTGTTCTCAATAAATGCCTGTGTTAAATTGGGTTTTTAACTGTAGATTATCTAACTGCTTTTAAAGTCGAAGAATGTCCTTGGCTTTTTGTTTATAAATAGTTTTTGTGTATTATTTATTTTTAATTAAACTAAAAATCATATTATAACAAATTGTTACAAATACAAATGCACTCACTTTTGAAAATGCTTAAGTGTCCCTCTTGAAACTGTTGTGCTCCCTCCACCTTTACCTCAGGTTGGAGACCACTGTATCAAAAACATTAATTAATCTTTGAGCTCTTTGCATAATCTACATGTATGTTTTTTTCATTTTCAGGACAAGATTTTGCAGACAAGTTCAAATAATGAAACTATTCAAGTGACTAATGATGGAGCTACTATCCTCAAGGCCATTGGAGTAGATAATCCAGCGGCTAAAGTGCTTGTTGGTGAGTACTTTCTAACACTCAACGTCTCTAAGCACAGGTGGTCATGTTTTGCCATCTCACGCTATCACAAGAAGCTCAAATTAGGTCAGCGCTCTTGTCTTCTGGTGTCTAGTTGTGCAGTGACTATTCTTGACATCTTAAGGTAGTTCTGCTTGTGCCTTCCCTCTTGTCTTCTGGTGTTTAGTTGTGCAGTGACTATTCTTGACATATTAAGGTAGTTCTGCTTGTACCTTCCCTCTTGTCTTCTGGTGTCTAGTTGTGCAGTGACTATTCTTGACATATTAAGGTAGTTCTGCTTGTACCTTCCCTCTTGGCAGCGACCCTTCTGGTCTGGTGACTTGGTAACATTTGTTACGTACTGGTAACAGTCATTTGTACATGTGAAAGCCATACACAGAAATATTCCGACACTTCTCTTTACCAAGAGGAAGTCAAGTGAAATATCTTCAGGTTTATGGCTAGCCATTGCAGAGTTAAATATCTACTGACCAGCAGAAAAAGGACAAATGTGTGTCTGTGGAGACTAAGCAAACAGGAGAACTTGTCCTCCAAGATCAACAACACCAACTGGTGGTGACAGATCAATGTTGATCATGGTCTGGAGAACCTGTCCTCCAAGACCATCATCACCAACTGGAGGTGACAGATCAATGTTGATCATGGTCTGGAGAACTTGTCCTCCAAGACCATCATCACCAACTGGAGGTGACAGATCAATGTTGATCATGGTCTCAAGCTCCCAGACAGTAGGCAAACAGTCACACAACTAAATACCTATTGACAAAACTGCTGGCCTGATCCATGCTTTTTGTGCTGCGAGATGACGAAACATGACCACCTGATCTTACATTTCAGGATCCTCGCTGGTGCAACAGGGTTCGTGCACTGCGCTGAGATTGTTCAGACTAAAGCTTGAGTTAGAAGTAGAATGGAACACTTATGGGTTACACCTGTGTGCCATGATGTTAATCCGTTGAGTAAACATAAAACTGACAGGGCATTTGATGGTGATGATAAAAAAGTTGGTTTAGTAGTCTAAAAGTTTGGTTATTATTTTGAATTCTACAAAAAAGTGCAGCATAAGTTCATAACAACATGAAAAACTTGTCGGGGCAGAGATTGCAGTTTAAATTCGTAATAAACTTAATACATTTTTTTAAACCTCAAGAAAAGAGAAGGTATGAAGAAAGCAAAGGTCTTGAAGGTTTTTATTTTAATTACCAGAAAGACTTGGTGGAAAAAAGTTTCTATAAAAATAAAATGATTTAGGTTATCAGGGGTACTGTCAGCCACTGTAATTGTAAAGTCCAGTGATTTATGGTACAGTAGCAACTTGTGCTTGACAGTATGCATTTGTGGTTTAATCACTGCTGTGTTTAAATGTCTGAATACCATCAAAATGTGACACCGAAAGTGTTATTGATTTCTTCACATGTGCTACAATATGAATGGAAGGTCTTGTATATTGCTGATGATGCTTAATTACTATCAACATCATCATATCCTATTGTGCCACTACACATCACATTGACTGTACAGTCGATTCCTCCAATGCCTTCCATCCTGTGCAGTTTTTTAAACTCTTCTGGTCTCTTTTCAGCATTTGCTATACCCATGTTGTAGGGCTGAGTTGGCACTGTTTCTCATAAAACATCTCACATCTTCTAAGTTTTTAGCTGAATCCATCAATCACTGTGAACAGCACATGATACTGTCTATTTTAACTCATCAGCCAAGCTTAGACACTTCAGTTTTAACATCCTTTGACAAGACCAAATGGAACCACATGAAACATTATCAGAACAAGTACTGTACAATAAAGATCACAATTATAAGCAGTTGCTCTGAGGAGCTGATATGCTTGAACAAGTTCAAATTATTATTGTTGTTCTACAAAAGCCAGGCAAGACAAACACTTGCAGCATTCGAATCAACATTATAGATGGGGTTTTTTCTCCCTTCTGTTTGTGAATTACAGGATTTCAGATGACTTGGAAGTCTATAATAGCCATGTACTGCAGTTAACAGTTTTCCCTTTCAAATTATGCACATATCACAATCTTACGGTAACTGTTATTTGTTCTGACAGATATTTCCAGGGTCCAGGATGATGAAGTCGGAGATGGTACAACATCAGTTGTAGTTTTGGCTTCTGAGCTTCTTAAGGTATGTTTAAAAAATCATTTCTACCAGTGTGCATTTAGGATGGTGATTTGGAAATAAAAAGTACCTGGTTTCAGTCACATAGTGTAATTCATTAAATACAAAAAGAATTGAGACTATTGTGGATTACATTAATGCACACTCCAAGTATATAGTAAATACTTAGATCTCACAAGACTAGAGTACACTTCCTGGTCGACATAGTTTAAATTAAAACTTGTGCCCAATATGAATGTTCTACATAACTTGTAGCTTGCTAGAATGGGGGTCATGTCTGGTGAGAATGGGTTTCTGCAAGTTTCAGTGCTGAGCTCTGCAGAAATGAACATAATCCTGCTGCTGTTTGGTGCATGATTCTAATAGTGTGGTTGTCTTTGAATTATCGGATAATAGATCTATCTCCAGTTTGAAATTGTTCATGTTTCTAAAGTTAAGGTCTCTTTACACATCAGTAGCGCACTGGGCATATTTTATAGACCCATCAACCTTCGCTGGGTAATTTGGTCAACATCATAGCCGCCTTTACTTCCCAGGACTTCATGTGGTTCCCATTTAAGGCTGGGTCGACCTGGAAGCCAAAGTCATGTTTGTGACAAATATCTGACACGATGTGGTTTTGAACCCACGACAGATGTGCGTCTAGCTGCCATACCAAATGGCTCCCTGTTTTTTTTCTGGGTTTTTTCCCTCTCCAAAATATGAACAGTTTCACACGTTAAAATGTCTTGGGTTACATATAAATAGATGAGATAAGTAATGTTCTGTATTTTTTTAAAAAAAAAAAACCCCAGTAAACTTAAATTAAAAAAAAAAGACACACACACTATCGTATAACCTGAATGTGAGAGCGGAAGGCTGAGTCTAGCTTGTGTTATTTGGTGTGTGGTTGGTATGAGCTAGCAATTGGAAGAAAAATAGGTTCTATCCAAATATCTTCACCCAGACAGACAGTCCAATATTTTAGGGGGTGATAGATCAGGATGCAGTCGTGGGACCTGGGCTGCACTCTCTCATGGGACGTAGGTGGGTTGGAGCTAGGCCTAGTTCTGGATGTTTGGGGGTTGTTAAAGGCATCAGAAAGCCAGGAAACCCGCTCTCACCACCCTAGACAATTTTGGGCTGTCCTGTGGCGTCATCTTGGAAAGGGGAGGGGTGATTGGGAAATAACTTGCACGCTAGGTTAACTTCTTATATACCACAGTTTACAGTGTGTAACTTTGTTAGCCATCATAGTCACACTTTACAGTGTTTATTTTGTAGTCTCAGTGTCATTTGTTGTTTAACTTGATGTTTGTTTAAATTTTATCAATTATTTATGGGTGTTTTTTATTTTAAATAACAGGAAGCAGAAGGTCTGGTTTCTCAAAAGATTCACCCACAGACCATAATTGCTGGTTGGAGAAAGGCTGTAGATGCTGCCAGGCAGGCTTTGACAGATGCTGCAGTAGATAATGGGTTTGTATTTTACCTCAGCTGATTAACACCTGACATTTAAGAAACTTGATAATAAACTGTAGGTAAACTGTCTTCTGTTATCAACAGATCAGAGTCAATACATAGAGAATGCAAATTTTATATTTTACCTTTTATTTCACTTATCTGTCATTCATCAGTTCTCTTTATGCCTAGTGGCACATAAGGCTTCAGAGAGGACTTTCCATGCTTTCCTGTCCTGTGCAATCTTTAATGCAGTTTTCCGTGTCAGGGATGCCACATTCAGGTCACTCTCCATCGTTTATCTCCATGTTGTTTTTGGGCGCCCCTTCTTTCTTTTTGCCTCTGGTATCCATGTGAGAGCTGTTTTGGCAGGTATATCAGGATTCATTCTCATAACGTGGCCAAACCATTTCCATCTTCTCTTTGTTATCATACTGTCTAGAGTTTCTAGATTTATGACTTGAAGTAGTTTTGTGTTTAAGATTGTATCTGGCCAGAAAATTGTTATAATTCTACGTAGAAATGTGTGATGGAAGGTGGACAGCTTGTGTGCGTCCCTTTTTGTCATTCTCCAGCATTCTGCTCAATAAAGAAGAACTGGCAAAATAATGCTTCTGTAGAGTCTAAGTTTCGTTCCTTTGCAGTAACTGTTGGATTTGCCCCATCCTTCCAAAAGCAGCTATAGCTTTGTTCAGGTTGGACTGTATGTCTTCCTCTGTCCCTCCCAGTAGGGACACCGCACTACCAAGATATGTGAAATGTTTTACATTTTCAAGTGCTTGGTTATTTATGGTCACTGGTTGTTGGTTTGGACTTTTTTTCATGATCTTAGATTTCCTTGTATTTATTCTCAGTCCAACCATTTCTGCTGTGCTGTGTAGTCTTTTACTGTTCTCTTGTATATGTTCATGTTTATGTGATAGGAGTGCTGAATCATCTGCAAAATCAAGGTCCTCATGCATGGTGAATGAAGTCCATCATGTGCCTCTCGATGTCTTGTCTACTTTGTTCTTTAGTGTCCAATCAGTCACAAGGTTTAAGAGGAGGGATGACATAACACATCCCTGTCTTACACTATCTGTCATTCAGTAACTGTAATTTAACATTTTAATAGTATTTACAGCAAACAGTTTTATACTTTTACTACCTAGATGATGTTAGATGTTCTCATTTTTGTTACTGAGTTATTATGTTTCTTCAACCATGCATAATTGCTGACTTTAGGAACATGACGGGCATTCCACAGTGTGATTAATACTACTGTCTAAAAACCATTAAAAAAAAGTTTTAAAAAATTATAATTAATCGTCTGTAAAAAAATTATAATTAATCGTCTGTGGCAGAAATCAAACCCTAGTGTTCAAAGATCATTAAATTTGTAGGACACATTCACTTAATTGTATGCCACATTTACAGTAAGGAACATTTGATATGTGTAACTAGTTTAACAGTTAAAAGGATAGTGTATGAAAGCAACTGGCTTCTCAATTGCTGGTTAAACATTACCAGAATTAAAAGGGAGAATGTCACTATCATGACAGGAGAGTGACTATATATGAGGTGCATCAGCATGTACATACACCTCACGCACATGCTTGGCATTTGAAAGCAGAATTTAGATACTTCATGTCATTCTCTAAGTAGAGCAGTAGAGGAATAAAACGTTGCCATTACAGTTTTTACAAGATTTTGAAGTTATGAAACTCTCCTGGCCAACTGTATTAAATGACTGAAATGACTAAGCAATTTCAACATATGTTTATATTTTAATATAGTGTTTTGGGCGATGGGGAGGATAACATATTGTTCACTTAATTTTGTGTTTTATTCATTTAAAAAAGTGGACGTTTTCTCACATTCTGATGACAGTTTTAGAATATTTCTTATGGCTAGTGGAATCTGTTTACCATTTGAACATTTTGTGACTGTGACTGGTTTATCTTCACATTCACCGGCTTTAAACTCCGACAGAAAGTTGTAGTTTTTCGTCCACCTCCAGACTTTCCTAGAACATGTCTTGTGTGTATATCTGTTTAACAGATCTGACTTATTTCTATGCAGACTGTTGGTTCTTGCCTCTCAGGTAGATGTATTACTACTTCAAAGGATCAGCCTAATTAGTCAGCTCCTGTGACATGCTTGTTTAGGAGGCAGTGGGTCTGTTCTTGTTTCCTGCACAGTGGGTCTGTTCTTGTTTCTTGCACAGTGGGTCTGTTCTTGTTTCCTGCACAGTGGGTCTGTTCTTGTTTCCTCCATAGTGGGTCTGTTCTTGTTTCCTGCACAGTGGGTCTGTTCTTGTTTCTTGCACAGTGGGTCTGTTCTTGTTTCCTCCACAGTGGGTCTGTTCTTGTTTCCTGCCCAGTGGGTCTCTTCTTGTTTCCTCCACAGTGGGTCTCTTCTTGTTTCCTGCCCAGTGGGTCTGTTCTTGTTTCCTCCACAGTGGGTCTGTTCTTGTTTCCTGCACAGTGGGTCTGTTCTTGTTTCTTGCACAGTGGGTCTGTTCTTGTTTCCTCCACAGTGGGTCTGTTCTTGTTTCCTGCCCAGTGGGTCTGTTCTTGTTTCCTCCACAGTGGGTCTGTTCTTGTTTCCTGCACAGTGGGGCCCTAGAACCCACACAGGGATGTTTGTCGTTTGTGCTTCATTATATTAACAAACTAACAGTATACATGTATAATTTAAACAAACAAACTGAAGTAGAATAATTCCCTGCAGTTGAGTGGGCATTTCTGAGTGTCTGCTTACATATCATGCAGTGGCATAGTTTATTGCTGAACCAGCATTGTGATGTGTATATGTTTACATGTCAGTGTTAATGTGTATATGTGTACATGTCAGTGTTAATGTGTATATGTGTACATGTCAATGTTAATGTGTATATGTTTACATGTCAGTGTTAATGTGTATATGTTTACATGTCAGTGTTAATGTGTATATGTTTACATGTCAGTGTTAATGTGTATATGTTTACATGTCAGTGTTAATGTGTATATGTTTACATGTCAGTGTTAATGTGTATATGTGTACATGTCAGTGTGAATGTGTATATGTTTACATGTCAGTGTTAATGTGTATATGTTTACATGTCAGTGTTAATGTGTATATGTTTACATGTCAGTGTTAATGTGTATATGTTTACATGTCAGTGTTAATGTGTATATGTTTACATGTCAGTGTTAAAGTGTAAATGTTTACATGTCAGTGTTAAAGTGTAAATGTTTACATGTCAGTGTTAATGTGTATATGTTTACATGCCAGTGCTAATGTGTATATGTTTACATGTCAGTGTTAATGTGTATATGTTTACATGTCAGTAATAATTTCCTCCTGATACAGCAATGATTTGGTGAAGTTCCGCGAGGACCTCATGAATATTGCCAGGACAACTCTGAGCTCAAAGATTCTTACCCAGCATAAAGATATGTTTGCCAAACTGGCCGTAGACGCTGTGCTCCGACTCAAGGTAAATCATCCAGTTTATTTTTATTATTATTATGAGAAACTGAATATCTTTGCCAGGTTCATTTTGTTTGTAAGTGCAGCCAGAATTCAAACTGGATTTTTCCAATCATTTTGTGAATCGGTGAGTTAGCAGTTAGCTACTACATGTATGAGTGCGGGTGACATTTACCTGATTGTAAGACTGTGGCTTGACAATGTGTCATGACATTCTTTTCTCTCTCTAAAAATGGGTCTCCAGAACCCACACTGTGATGATGTGTAAAGTAACCCTGCATATGTTCTCTGTCTGTCTCCCTCAGGGAAGTGCCCCAGTGGGATGATGTGTAAAGTGTAACCCTGCATATGTTCTCTGTCTGTCTCCCTCAGGGAAGTGCCCCACTGGGATGATGTGTAAAGTGTAACCCTGCATATGTTCTCTGTCTGTCTCCCTCAGGGAAGTGCCCCAGTGGGATGATGTGTAAAGTGTAACCCTGCATATGTTCTCTGTCTGTCTCCCTCAGGGAAGTGCCCCACTGGGATGATGTGTAAAGTGTAACCCTGCATATGTTCTCTGTCTGTCTCACCCAGGGAAGTGCCCCACTGGGATGATGTGTAAAGTAACCCTGCATATGTTCTCTCTCTGTCTCCCTCAGGGAAGTGCCCCACTGGGATGATGTGTAAAATAACCCTGCATATGTTCTCTGTTTGTCTCCCTCAGGGAAGTGCCCCACTGGGATGATGTGTAAAATAACCCTGCATATGTTCTCTGTTTGTCTCCCTCAGGGAAGTGCCCCACTGTGATGATGTGTAAAGTAACCCTGCATATGTTCTTTGTTTGTCTCCCCCAGGGAAGTGGAAGTCTTGATGCTATACAGATTATTAAGAAACTTGGAGGGAATTTGTCCGACTCTTACCTTGAATCAGGTAAGTTTTTTATAGGAAGAGTCTCTGATATCATACAGCTAGTCATGTTTTAAGTGCATTGAAAATTTAGGCTTTTAAGATGTCGACCTTCCATAGGTTACCTCTTTTTGTTTTATATTTTGCATGCAAAACTTGAGTTAGGAAAAATGACTCAAATCCAGAAGTGTACGAACAACCAGAACTTTCTGAAAGCATTTGCAGCCGCCAGCGAACAATAAGAAAAAAGTCATGAACAGAATGTAGAATTAGTAGCAGTATCAGTTGAGTCAAGAATCGACATCACATCACTCAGGGCATTCCCATGTGTGCCCCGTCCTCATCTTCAGCAGCCAGCACAGAGATCCGATACTAATGGTACAAGTTACAATCTGGTAATATGTCCATCTTGTCTTTCCTCTGAGTGTAGTCAGCCGGCCAGACCCTCTGGTTACACCCAGGTGCCTCATTCTCTTCAGGACATAATAATCTTGCTTCTCTACTGATTCCGTTGCTTGTTTCCAAAGGACATTGACCACATCTGCCTTGTCATGTATCAGGAGTTGTCAGACATAAATGTTGATTGGTAATTTGGAATAGCAGCAATAATTGCAACATAAATGACTACCAGAATGTAAAACTACAACATTTACTTGATATGTTTTTGAGATGTGAAGATATGACTGTTAACAATACTTTTGTGCATCCTCAAGGTTTTCTGCTTGATAAAAAAATTGGGATCAATCAACCTAAGAGGATCGAAAAAGCAAAGATTCTCATAGCAAATACTTCAATGGATACCGATAAGATTAAGGTAAGGGTTTGGTTTTTGTTCTTAGGGCAGGTTGTTAATGTTTTTTTTCTACAAAGCCAGTATAGAAGGTAGAGGTAATCACATTGAAAATGCGTTGGTGTGAATCTTAAGATGTAAGACTTCACATTCAATGGGTAACTTTATGTGTAACACTTCATGTTCACTTCCTAGTTTTATGGTATTTAAAATGGAATCAAGGCCGAAGGGTTGCGATATCCTTAATACCGAGCATAAGGATTAACAACTCATGGCTTCTGGATACTAAAACAAAGCAACAAACCAGTTTTAATATATCAGCATACATATAGGCAGATCCATCCATCCATCTACCATTGCATCTATCTACGAACGTAACCATCGTCCCGCCCATTCATCTACCCACACCATTTATCTCACCATCCACTCAATGCTATTTTTCACCGCTTCCTTCCCTTCTGGCTGTTACCATCCTTGCACTTGGGCTCGACCAATACTTTGTATAAAAATCACCCTTACTGTCTCTATTTGATAGCGGACAGTAAGAGAGAAGCACTGTGTTAGTAGACTCATGTTTTTACCTCATCTCATATTTGGTCGATCCATCCATCCATCTACGATTCCATTCATCCACTAATACAGTCATCCATCATTCCATCCATTCATCTACCCACCCATCTATCCATCTACCATTCCATTCATCTACTAATACAGTCATCCATCATTCCATCCATTCATCTACCCACCCATCTATCCAGGACACACTCGCCTATCCACACCACCATCCACACATGCTGTTTTCCCATCTATCCCTTCATCGCTCCCTTACACTCTGGTTGTTATCAGACTTACTCTCGGGCTCGACTGATTATTTTTGTATAACAAGCATCCTTACTGTCTCTATTTGATAGCTGACAGTAAGAGAGAAGCATCTATCTATCTATGTATCTATCTATCTATGTGTCTGTCGATATTTGTTTGCAAGCACAGGCACCACTTTTATTCCATGCGGATGGACTAATGTCATCCCTACAACCCAACCCCGGTTACGCCCTATAGGCCAACCCCTCCCTCCCTCCTTAGACACTCAGTGTACGCTGTTGGCGTCAAACCCGTCCCTTTTTTTGCCCCTACCTGCGCGTTGGAGGTATATAGGCTGACCGTCATTCCATTGAACGAAGTTTTTTCGCCAGGGACACTAGATGAGTATCGTTTATTCTATACATTAGAGTCCTATGTAGTCACTTCATAGTTAGAGCCTATTTGTTTATGTGTACTGTGTAGTCCTTTATGTGCTGATGAAGGCTAATCGCCGCAACGTCCTTTGTTTGTTTATTGTGATCGATTTTGTAAAGCTAACATAAACTAATTGTTGTTTCTTACCAACTTTTTCTCTTCCCTATAATTTTCTACTCCTTATAAAAACATGTTCACTTAGTAACCTTAGATGTAATAAGACTTCACAATCACTGTGTAACTTAAGATGTAAGACTGCATTTACTAGGTCATCTTTAAAAAAAAATTACTTAGTTACCAGCTTAATACACACACACAATTTGGTAAATAAATAATCCAGTACCAGGGCCAGTCTTGCAGAGGCAAATACACTTCTGTCACTTATTAAGTTTGACTCCTAAACCCTTGTAGTGCTAAACAAGCATATTGACTAATGCATCCACAGTTTGTCATGTCTGCTTGAAAAAAATGGGAACAGTTAACTGTAGCAGCTGTATAAATTCATTGTTTTGTTATGTTCAGTATTTAAATACTTGCGTTAGAAAATTATATTCTTTAGTGCCAGCTACATTTCATGTGCCGTGCTGATAGTCTCCTTGGGAAAACTGAAGTCCTTAAAGAAATATCAGAAAGAGATATGTATATAAAATATATGTAATGGAAGCTGTTCTTTCTCTAAACCCCCCCCCCCCCCCTTTTTTTTTTACATACACACAAGCACATTTTCACACAAACTCGAATCAATTTACCATGTTGATATGCTACATTGATGTCCGCTTTCCTTCCTTTTGTTTCTAGATAGTTATTCTAACTATTCTGTCTGTATTGTTAATTTAACTCTGTCTGTCCTGTATTGTTGGGAGCAGTTTATTTCTCTAAATGTGTGGCATAAAATAGGAAGAGTTAAAGTAACAACTGCTGGAAGATAAGGAGTTGGCTAATTCACTTTAAGATCACAGATTGTGTGTTAGCAGTATGTACACATTTTTGTGACTCTTATGCTTTTGTTGTTTAAGAAAGCAAGCACTCTATTAAAAAGAAACTGAAATGAATGCTGATGAATGACTGGCTGGTTGTGTTTCAGGTGTTTGGCTCACGTGTGAGGGTGGATGCCATCTCCAAGGTAGCACAGCTGGAGCTCGCTGAGAAGGAAAAGATGAAGCTCAAAGTTGAGAAGATCCTCAAGCATGGGTGCAATGTGTTTGTCAACAGGTAACAACTATCTAGTTGATTGTCTGTGTGTACAGTCTAGTATGTCTCAGAGAGTTGATATGTTCTAGACTGCATATTGTTAAGTATAACTCTTTCTGTAATGGATTCTGTAATATAGTTGTACATTGATGACAATTATCCTGTCCATATTGGCACTCTGTCTTTGTAAACATTTATAATTATTCTTGCGTCCAATGTATTCATTACTACATTTGTAGTACATTCGTTAGTGCGCTCAGTTTCTGGAACAGGACTAGAGTACAGAAGTGGACAAACAACCAGAACTTTCCACCAGAGTTTACAGCCGGTGAACATGAAGAAGATTGTAAGGGGGCACTGAGTCTGTTTTCCCTCCAAACTGGGACCATAGAACCCACACAGGGAGTTTTAGGGATACAGTTCAGATGTAGTAGTCTTCTTCTTCTTTGCGTTCACCAGCTGTAAACTCGGGCGGAAAGTTCTGGATGTTCATCCACTTTTGGACGGCAGTCCTGTTGCAAAACCTCAATGTTGCATGTGCATCCGTTTTATAGATTAGACTCATTTGTATGTAGACTGCTGGTTCCTTGCCTCTCAGGTAAATGCACTCCGACTTTGAAGAAGCTCCCGATTAGTTGACTCTTACGACTTGCTTTTGGGTAGGCAGTGGGTCTACTCTTGTTTTTCCTATAACAGGGCCCTGGAACCCACACGAGGAAGATGTAGTAGTATGTTACATGATTGTTGTGAGTAGTTTGTACATTTCTGTGACAACTTGTGTCTAAATTATCTTCCAGGCAGCTGATTTACAATTACCCAGAACAGATTTTTGCTGATGCTGGAGTCATGGCCATTGAGCACGCAGATTTTGAAGGCGTGGAGAGGCTTGCACTTGTCACAGGTACATGTGGGTCCTTATCCTCTACTAGCTTTCAGTTCAATAACTAAATAGAGGGCACCGCCTTGATGGATGGAAAGCTCAATATTCAGTTGTGAGGTTAGGCAGTTATGTGCAGGACATGACGTTTCCTCGGGTGAGCCCGGGACCAGAGCGTCATGTGTTAGCTCTGCATGTTTTGGATGACAGGAATATCTGTGGTCTGCCCCTGCCTTCCCATGAGTACTGCCTAGTCTACTCGTTGCTTAACATTCTCCAGGGGCAGCATTGGTAGATAAAGGGACAGAGAGGACACCACACACATAAAGCAACATTATGTCTCACAAAACAACAGCCACACTCTTCGTAGATGGTTTGAAGTCTGAGTACATCTGCTCGAGAGCCAGGCAATAAGAAACTCAGTCCTGGTACAAACCAAATGGACGAACAACCAGGACAAAGAAGTATAACTAAATCACCCAGTTGCTGCTTCATCTCATTACCTGACATGTACAGAAGAAACACATGAGGAAAGAAGCTAGTTATCCAGTCTTACACTTGTGTTCTTAGTTCATCAGCAGTGTCCCACTTCTGTACATGTAGAAATGCCATATCTAATGTATGTTATGTAAACCACCAATTAAGACCAATGGTTCTGAAAGGTGGAGAATGACTGAAAATACTGAAAAAGCCTTATTACAAGCAAAATAATCTCATGATAATGCATTTTTGCACCCCACAAAGATAAAAACAAAGGGACTTTGAAATCAAAGCATCTGCCTGAGAGGCAAGGAACTAAGTTTGCCTACAGGTAAGCCAGATCTGTACAATTGGTGTTCATACAAAACTGAGGTTCTGGAACCAGACTCGGAAGTGGATGCACAACTTTCCGCCAGTGAATGCGAAGAAGAAGAGATATTATATATTGAAACCTCATCAACACGAACTTGCTTAAGACAAACTCCCAGTTAACCTTAACAAAATGTTGGTCCCCGCCGGGGTATATTTATTGTGAGTGCCCGATACGCAGACATTTTTTAACATACACTCGATTTTCCAGACCGTGTAATTTGTGTTAACGAGGTTTTACCATATAAGAATTACAGATAGATAATGCTATTTTCAGGCATTGGAAAAAATGAGGCGCTCTCTGGTTTCATTAAATGATGCTTTTGACATACTACTAAGAGATTAATGTATGTAGTGCAAGTTTGGGCTAACCATATTGACAAACTGCAATTATAGAACACAGTAATGAATTCACATATTTAACGTGCTGACCACAGAGAGAGACACAACTAGATATAAACATTTCTTGAGCTTTTCATGATTCTGGTTACGTTCATTCGGTTAATTGTCCATGCCTTAAAGTTCCTATAGTGTGATACAATTCTCATGGCATGATTCTGCAGGAGACCTGGAGCATTAGAACCTGCTGTCATATACATAATCATTTAAGAAGCAAAAAGATGAGTATGTAAAAATCTTTTTGTAAAGCTGCCAACTTGCCACAAATAGTAATTTTGTTGAAATTATGCTTTTTTTTAATAGGGCCTGACAGGTATCACATCACTTCATAGACATAGTGTTGCAGCCATAATTTGTTGCTATTTGTTTCATTATGAAACTGCATCGATCACAACTCTAGTTTTCTCATGCATCCTTAAAATGATAGATGGATTGGAAACATTAATGTTGAGGTAATGCGGTAGATTTCTACAGCTTCTGAACTGCTGAAAGTAATCTGAACATGAAATGGTTTTAACAGACTGTTCTGAATGTAGAGACTATGAGTTATAAATTATCATTGTTAATGATATGTTACAGGAGGAGAAATTGTCTCCACATTTGATTGTCCTGAGAAAGTGAAACTAGGAACCTGTGACCTGATTGAGGAGATCATGATTGGCGAAGATAAACTCATTAGGTTTTCAGGTATTGTTTGTCTTCCCTTCTGGCTGTTGAAAATGGCTGTTATTGTGTTTCATATCCAGAACTGTCTTTTCCTCACTGCTGGATTCATTGAGGTTTTTTTTTTGTAGTTTTCTCTGTGCTTTTTATTTGTAAGATTTTCTGATGCCTTGTGTATTCTGCAGGAGTCGCCATGGCGGAGCAGCTAAACGCTCGCCTGCGTATCTTAAGGTCATGGGTTCGTTCCCTGGTGGGGCTGGCCTTTTAAAAAAAATGACTTTGGCTCCCAGGTGGACCCAGCCTTGAGTGGGTATCGGGTGCAGTCCCGGGAAGTAAAGGCGGCCGGCTTGATGCTGACCACATCACCCATCTTGTGCCGATTGGTCTATCAAATATAGGTCTAGTCCTATAAGCCTAAAGGCGTGGAAAAGAGTTCATTAATTCACTTTAACTTTTGTGTTCTATCTACACCGGCACCAGTAATCATGTTTGTAGTTTATTAGTACTTGTTTTGGTCATTCTAAAAATGACATATTGTTCCTGCATACGTTGAGTTATTGCAGGTTGTGCAGAGAGGATATACTGAGTTTACATGCTCCTGGTGTGCAGTATGGAAGAAGATGAGTCTTTATGTGAATCCTGAAAGTATACCTTTCTTTGCCATTACTGTCTGTGGTGACCACTTTTGATGCCGGGTGGGGGCGGGTTATCTTTGAGCCTGAGGATTCAAGACCCCATGGCTAGTGCAGTCACCATAAACTGTGCAGGTTAAAGTGTGCCTTTACAAAGAAAAAGCCAGTAATTTCAGAAATAGTGCCCTTACAGTTATATGGCAAGTATCAGTTCAGAGACATGGAGTAGTGACTATATGTTTATTGCATACACATAAATAAATTATTAAATCACTAGTGTTTGGACTTTGATTTCATTACTGGATAGTGTTAAACATCTGAAAAGTCTTGAGGCACAGATAATGCAGAATAATATTTTTTAAAAAAAGCTACATAAGATATGTTGATAGCATCCTTCTGCTGTGCTGAAATACAGCTGCTATTGTATGTTTATGTCACCACAGGTGTAGCCTTGGGTGAAGCCTGCACTATTGTGCTTCGTGGTGCCACACAGCAAATCCTGGATGAGGCTGAGCGGTCCCTGCATGATGCTCTCTGTGTGTTATCTCAGACTGTGAAAGAAACGCGCACAGTTTATGGTGGAGGTAAGTGGGACTTGAGATGTTTGACTATTTTTAGTGCCGAAACACATGAAAGATCAACTTAGGGACAATATTAGGAGGATATTTGGTACAGAACCAATACTGAACTGTATCAGTAGACAACAGATCAAATGGCTTGGCTATGTAACAAGATTGACAGGAGACAGGGCACCACAGTAAACAGTTATATACTTATGCAGCCATAGCAGAGCCAGATGGAGCGGAAACATCAGAGACACTGAAAAGTACTGTGTACGAAGCGAACAGAAGGGCCTGTTCTAGGCACCTTTTCCTACCCTGACGGTGCGAGGCATTCCAGGAGTAGAGAAAGAAAGATGAATAAACATATGCCCTGATCACCTGCCCCCTAGAAATTCATCGAATCTGTACCTGTCAACTCGCCTCTCATTGGTCGCTGATTTTCCTGAAACCTTTTCACCCCAGACAGTGACTTGTAACTAGTGTATGTAGTTGTTTATGTCAATATTTCTCTTCTGGTTTGTCCTTGAACTTATTCAGTCACAGTTATTATAACCCAAGCTACTGTTTCTGTTTATTTTTTTAGTCTTTTTTATAATCCTCTTTTTAATGTTTCATTGTCATTAGCCACTTTTGTTGTATGTATATTTTTTAAATTAATTATTTTTAAGTTTTCTTCTTTTCAAAGACTGCATCTGTGGCTTAGGTGTTGTAAATGTCCTTTGTAGTGCTGGGTTCGATCCCAGCTGCAGACGATTTGTCTTGCGTTGGTTCCGAGAGCTGACTGTTCAGAGGGCAGTGGCAAACTAATGAATATAGAATTTGCCTAGAAAAAACCACAGCCAAAAAATGCCGGAGTTGGTTCTGCAGTATTCTGTAAAGGATACACAATTTATTTCAAACACAACTTCTCATCATCATCAAGTGACTTTCAAACATAACTGTGAGATCGTACTTTTGTACATCTCAGGATCAGAAGGAGAATGTGTCATTTGCTGTGCTGAAAAACCTGGCAATTATTCTCTTATTGTCTTTTTATATTATTTCTACTAATCTTTTCCAGTTATAACTGTATTTTCTAGTTTCTCTATTATCATAAACTACCCACAAAATGTTTTCTGTTTTTTTTCTCTGCCTATTTGTAGTAAGTTGGCGGCTTTACAAAAGATTTACATACTCAATTTTGTCTGTCCTAGAATTTTAGCATTCTTCTGTTTAAAAAAATAAAAGCAACATAAATTCTTTTGCAGGTTGTTCAGAGATGCTGATGGCAGATGCCGTGAGCAAACTTGCAGCTAAAACACCCGGCAAGGAGGCAGTAGCCATGGAAGCTTTTGCCAAGGCTTTGAGACAGGTCATTATCTTTACCTGTCCTAGTATTTTTGTTTATAGTTTTAGTTGCCTTTTCATTGTACATCCAACATCATAAAAACAGTTGTTGGTGCCGTCTGCCAGCGGAGCTTGGTGAAATAGTTGTCCTCTCTCCTCTTAAGGAATTTTGTGTTGTAAGATCCCAGTTTCTTCCAAGAGCCTATTTAAGGCTGTTTACCATGCCTGTTTGGCAAATGCTAGAAATATTCTGTTTTATGTAGATAGGGAGATGCTGGAATTTGGCAGTTTTGAGTTGATAGCGGAGACAATTTCTTAAACCCCTTTTCACTTGAAACAAATCAACAAAATTATCCATGAAATGTTGGTAATGTAAGTATTATGTGGACATTTTTATGGGAAAAAAACTTTAATAATTTATTTAAAACAACAAAACAAATAAGTGAAATGACCTTATAATAATAATTTACAGGTGGATGTAGCAGATAACAATTCATGTTAGAGTACACAGACAATGAAGTCTTCTGTTCTGAGGAGACTGTTCTGATGGTGTAGGTCACATGCAGGCTAACTCAAACATCTGTCAGCTGTATCTTTAACTAATTGAATTCTAACTGCAGCCAGTTAGTCAGATGAGAATGAGTGAATCTGAAGCCCAGTGAGATTATCTATCAGAAAATCCTAAAAATTGTCTGGCACCATTTATTTGAGACCTCATTGACTCTAGAGGTGTTAACTTTTGGACAGATAAGAAACCTGCTAGCGGGCTTACCACAGTTGCACCAAGGCTGCATATATTTGACACCAAGCCAGTCACTTAAGTGCAATATTCACCTTAATGCATTTTTAGGGATATATGTGAAAGGCACATATGTGAATTCTTACTCCAGATGGACCCAAAATAAGATATTACTTCTCACGCAACTAGACAATTTGCATTTGTCACTTCAGAAAGTTTTCTCAAAATCAGGATTTAGCACTTAGATGACTGAAGTATTACGTCATGTACACTTTTATAGTATACATAACTAATTTTCATTAATGTGATAATTAAGGGTTGTCTGTTGTTGAGCCATACATTATAAAACTGCTTGCCTCAGATGTTATACCTTTTGTCTTGTGATCTAGCTGCCCACAATCATTGCTGATAATGCTGGATATGACAGCGCTGACCTCGTTGCTCAAATGAGGGCTGCCCACACAGAAGGCAGACACACTATTGGCCTAGGTAAGATCATGTAGATGTTGCATATACATGTGTCAGAACTCAGCTAAACATATTCTCTGGTCTTGTAAACTAAACAGTGTGAAATATTAGGGATTATGGTTTGATTTAATATGTTGATGATGTTCAAATTAACATTATACACAAGATGGTAGTGGAACAATTATATAAGAATAAAGTGAAGCTGACTTATATCCAAATCCTGATGTTTTAAGGCAGTTTATCTCTCTTTCTTAAAGGTGTTCATAGTCTGTACTCAGTTTTCAGTTGAGAACACTCACAAGAATGTCTTCACCAGTTTTTTTTTTATCCATTTCATTTCAAAGTGTTACAAATTGTTGAATAGCCACAACTGCCACTATCTGTTTTCCTATCATATTCAAATAAAGCGTGTATCACAGAGATTACAAATAAAGCGTGTATCACAGAGATTACAAATAAAGCGTGTATCACAGAGATTACAAATAAAGCGTGTATCACAGAGATACAAATAAAGCGTGTATCACAGAGATTACAAATAAAGCGTGTATCACAGAGATTACAAAACAAAATTCTTGAAGTCCATGGCATTGCAGTCATGTCTTGTTTATATGTTCTTGCGCAGTGATTTCTGACACATGATCTCCCGTGCAATGCTGTCAGACATTTAGCATTTTCTCTCTCCATCTCCATCTGTCCCTTTTCCCACTCCAACTTTCTCTCTGTCATAGTGTATTCCAGTTTTCTCTTTATTGTGTGATCAAAGAATTGTGATGTCTTCTTCTGATGTGGGTAGTAATAAAAGGAATAGGATAGACCAAAAGGGCACTTTATAAACTGGTCATCTTATGCAATAAATCGTTGGAGGTTAGACAAATGATTCTTGCATGCTACATCATCATCAGTTCTCGTTATGCCTGGGGGCACATGAGGCTTCAGAGAAGACTTTCCATGCTTTCATGTCCTGTGCAATCTTCAATGCAGTTTTCCATGTCAGAGATGCCGCATTCAGGTCACTCGGGCCCCTTTTTTTCTCTTTCCCTCTTCTATTTATGTGGGAGCTGTTTTGGCAAGCATATCAGGATTCATTCTCATATCGTAGCCAAGCCATTTCTATCTTCTCTTGGACCAGTTTTAAGATATGGCTGCAGATGCTGAGGGGTTAGTAAAGAAACCAAATTATTTAAGGATTCAGAGATGTGGTTTTACAGAAAAAGCTTTCAATTCCTTGGACAGCCAAAATGAGTAACCTATATGTTTTTAAAGAGGTGATAGCCTAAAGAGAGAGACACTTAGAGAATAAAGAAACTAGGATATGTGACAGATTTTTGAGAAGAGAAATGGAGGAAGACAGCCTTTTGTCAAGGCGTGGAGAGTTGTCAACACATGAACTAATACCGGCTGTTGAAGCTCATGATTGCCCACGCAGTTGGCCCGGCACCTGAGGGATTCAGTGTTTTGGGTAAAAAGCTGTTTCTTACAATTTTCAAAATGTTTGAAAAAACTCTCAGTTGCTAATAAATATGGGTACCAAGAATTGCAGCATATAAGAGTTTTCAAGTCTTTTGTTCTCTCCAAAACTAGAGGTCAACTTAAATGGCGAATATAAAATGCACTATATAGGTATAGATGTAAATAAGAATTTTGAGCTCACCATCTTGAGATTGATGTATATGTTGTACTTGAGATTGGCGCAGACGCTGTACTTTATTGATGCATGCGCTGTACATGAGATTGACGCAGACGCTGTGCTTGAGTCTGATGTATACGGTGTACTTGAGATTGACTCAGACACTACTTGCGATTGATGTATACGCTATACTTGTGATTGATGTATATGCTTTACTTGAGATTGATGTATGTGCTGTACTTAAGATTGACACAGACACTGTACTTGAGATTGACACAGACACTGTACTTGTGATTGATGTATACACTGTACTTGCGATTGATGTATACACTGTACTTGAGATTGATGTATACACTGTATTTGAGATTGATGTATACGCTGTAATTGACAGTGTTTTAATGTCAGTTTCTGCTACTAATTGTTGATCGTGGACATTTCAGACATGGAGCGTGGTCGAGTCGGCGATGTTGCTGAACTGGGCATCACAGAATCCTACCAGGTGAAGAGGCAAGTTCTCATCTCTGGAGCTGAAGCTGCGGAAATGATCATGAGGGTTGATAACATTATCAGAGCTGCACCTCGCCAGCGAGCACCAGATCACAGACATCATTAATGATCAGTTCTTGCAACTTTGAGCTGCTGTCATTCGTGTCATCCAGAAACATTGTCACAGAGCAGTGTTTGCTAGTGGCAACTTTTTTTTTTTACACATCAGTCTATTTAGGTTTTTTAAATTGATGTTGTGAGTTTACTTTTGTATGTTTGTTGAATCGAGGATTTAAGTGCTTGGATGTATTGTAATGTGTGTCCAATTCTTTTTCTTTAGCTTCCAGAGCTGCTGTTTTCTTTGTTGCAATCGTAACTTGTTCCTGTTTCTCTCTACATTTCTGTTGTTTTAGTCCAGGTGTGGTGGTACGGACATCATTCTCTGTGGTTATACTCGTTTTTGTACTTTGTTTATTTCATGTTGGTACCATTCCCTGTCAAAATAATTGTATCTCTTGAGTTTCTTAGCACTAAAAATCTGGCAGTTCATCTCCTTGCAACAATTCTGTCATTGTTCTCAATTTGGTCACATTGCAGTGTTAAATCCATTTTCTCGCATGGAGCTAATTTGTACTGATTATCTAGCCATCAGATAGATTGAACATGTCTCTTGTTTAAAGTGCCATGTTGAAAATACTGGCTGACTAGATTTTGTTTCATAATTAGTCTACTAAATTAAATTCTACTTCTGTTTTGTCTGTTTCACCTCAGAAATAAAGTTTTCAAAGAAATGAAAGACAGCCTTTCTAATTATTGGACAATTTTTTTTTAAACTGCAAATTGTTTCTCGTCTGTATAAAAACACTGTTGTACATATGTTTATTCAACATCATGGCACACTGGTGTAACCCAAAAGTGCTCTGTTCTTCTTCTAACTTTAGCCTGAGTCTGCAGAATGTCAGTACAGTGCACTAACTGTTGCACCAGTTAGGATCCTAAATTACTTTAGGCAGATTTTAAACGCCAAATTTTGCCTGGGCAGACTACTCTTTTCAATTTCCATCTGTTAAGGAATTTTCTTTACTTGCGCAAAAATACATACAGGTGTTTGATCTTGCTACCCAGAGACCAGGTGAAAATTACTAGAAGTCCACGTGAAAAAAATCCCAGCCCTCACTGGGACTTGAACCCGGGACTTCTAGCACTCAAGGCGGACACCATGCCTCGAGACCACACAGCCCCCTTGTGTTGTACATATATCAGCAGGGAACTTGAGCCTACTAGCTGCCAGCTGGGTGTGTGTGTGTAAACGATTAGTCCTTAAATGTGTCTTTATTATGTAAATCCGTGCTGATTGTGACACCACATGATCATTTGATCTTATGGGTTTCAGCACTTAATTAGTGTTGGGGAAACCAACCTCCTCACTGAACATGGTTGGTAAGTCGACAGATTATCCTCATTGCACGTCAAACCACACAGTCCATAAGTCCTTGGATACCCTCAGTAAATCCCGCAACGTGTAGTGGCTAAGGACACCAGTTCTGTGTTGGTTTATTCTTCTTCTTTGACTACCCACATAGTGTTTCTGTTAAGTGACACCACGTTTAACAAGTTTTTGCAGTCTGATCATGGTTGCAGATTCACAGTTCTCTTTTGGTTCACGCAAACGTCTTAAAACTCTCTAAGAGCATTCATTATATTAGCCTGGTCCATGGCTTGTCCGGCTTTCACAGTAGCCTTACCAGCAAGCGTATCAGCCTGCTCATTTCCTTGTACCCTCACATGTCCTGGCACGAAAATGAAACAAATCCTTGTCAGCCATGAATGCTGTAGAGCCATCAACCACTGCCTGCGGACCCAGCCATTCTCTATCTTTCTGAGCATACTCATCGAGTCACCGAGAAATCATGCCCCAGTGAAAGTCTGTGTCTCTAGCCATGTTACTGCTTTAGTCTCAGCCATGACCTCCATAGTCAAACTACTTGTAGTTACTGCAAAAGCTCCAGAATCTTCCTTCACAACTCTCCCTCCAAAACTGAGCCATGAAATCCTACGAGCTTCTAACGTGGCGGATTACGGGACCATCTGTGTAAATGATAGACAAGGCTTGAACTTCTGCTTCCACAGCAGCCGGACGTGTTTGCATTTTCTGTCTAGTTGGATGCAAACAGAAAAAGATGTACAGCACTCTGAAGGCACTTGCATCCACTCCTCGCTGGGTTCTATGTCCTCAAGTGAACATACATGTAAAATAATGTCCTCGGCTTGACCCATCCATAATTTGCCTCTTTTTAACCTGCTGCCTTTTATCTTCTTGATTTGACTATGTAATGGATGTTGTGTGTCCGCCTTGTATGTGAGGTAGGCACGAGCTGGAGAAATTTGTATTCTGTCTTCCATGGTTGGACAATCGAGAAGGTAGTGCATAGCCCTGCATGCTGTATCTCTCGTACACCCAAGTATTATGCGCATAGCCTCGTTCTGTATCCTTTCCATCTGCTTATGGCTGAGAGTCAGGATCACCATCTTGTATTCAAAAACAGAAAGGACCAGACCCTGGTATAGAAGACATAGAGGACGCTGCTCACAGTTTGCCGCCGCCATCACTCATCGCAGCCAGACCCCGCTTGGCTTTCATTATAATCTGATCTACATGCTCAGCATATATAAGCAAGGCTTTGATCAAAATGAACCCCCAGGTATTTCATTGCATTCGTTCTTTCCACATCCTCAGAACACATACTAACAGCGTGTTGTTTTCACAATATGATTATTCAAAGAGAACCATGTCACTGCCGCTTGCGCTGGGTTGACCAGTGCAACTGCCACATCTAAACACTACTTTTCATTGGAAGAGATCCAGTGAAGCAGGAATGGACATCTGGAGTTCAAGAAGCTAAGAAATTAAGAAATCCAAAGGTACTCTCTTGTACGCATCCTCGAGAGCAATTGCCGCAGCACACATTTCAATACCTGAGTGGAAGCCTTCATACACGTCATGAGCAAAAACTGCAGCATTGGTCCATATTTCTTTCTTTGGACGGTACCCTCCAAGGGTATTTGGAAGAAGACCTCGCCTCTCAAGCTGGTGACATTTTCCTGGCTATTATCTCTTCTAACAGCATGCATACAGTATTTTGCATAGTAATAATCCGATATCCCTGAATTTTTGTGTGATCTTTGGCAGGGGTATCAGACAGCTATGTAACAACTCTTCACTGATACTAGCACTTGCAATACTATTGTACATATCTGCTAGCTCTTTCAGCTCATCTTCAGTACACCTACTAATGTCGTCATATCTTATACCATCTTGACCTGGTGCACTATTATTTGTTTGTCGTAGCACACAGCCTTGATCCACTGTCACTATATCACCGTCTGCAAATGTCTGTGACTTACACCTGTCTGTACATGGTGCCACCAGAAACGCAGTTTGTCGTTGATGGAAGTAGTTGGGCACGATAAGTTGGCTATACACTCGTAGAACCACCACATAAGGTATTTCACCAGCTCACAGGTAAACCGGCTACCGGCCATATTGAATACCACAACGCAACCACTGCACAAATGACTGCATCCCACATGAAAAACAGCTCACAAGGCTGCACCAAGAACTAACCTTAGTAGCTCAGGCAGCGAAACCATAGACTACAGTCCATATGAGAAAACTGCATTAGCACAGCGCTTTCGAAAGCAAAAATAACTTTGAAGCTTAACATTCTGCCAAGCCTAATTAATCCATTTTGACCGAAAGCTATTAATAGCAGTGTAGTCTAATATGTCTGTAGTGTTGCAATCACGCTTCGTAATTCTGAGGTTCGATCCCAACTGTGGGCCATCTGTCAGCAGCTCACCTTGCAGTGGTTTTAACAGGGATATTGAGAGCCGACTATTCAGGACAATGGCAAACTACTGAATGTAAACACTGTCCAGTAAAATCATAAATATGCAGAAATTGGTTCTGTGACACTCTCTAAAGGATAAACAACTAACTTTTTTGAAAAATCTGAAACACAGTTTTATAGTATGTTTGGCTCAGGCGTTGCTAACGCGCTTTGTAGTGTCGGGTTCGATCCCAGCTGCGGATGGTGTGTATTGCGTTGGTTTTGGCAGTGGTACTAAGAGCTGACCATTCAGGAGCAATGGCAAACTACTGAATGTAAAATGTGCCTAGGAAAACCACAACACTCCAAAAATGCTGGAGTTGGTTCTGCAATGTCCAGTAAAGGATACACAACTTGTGTGTGTGGCTTATGAATACGCACTGTACTTGATGTTTTGTGTGTGTGTGGCTTATGAATACACACTGTACTTGATGTTTTGTGTGTGTGTGGCTTATGAATACGCACTGTACTTGATGTTTTGTGTGTGTGTGTGTGTTCATGAAGGTGTATGCATGCACACATAAGTACAGAGTCCACCAAGAGATGACTTACACTGTAGACACTTCAGCTGCTTGAAGATTGCATTTCACATTTGTACTTTAGAAGATTTCACCCACTTGTCCTGAAAGTCAGAAATTACTGTCAAAGGTACAGGTTAAAATACACTGTGGATGTGGAAGGCAACTGGAAATCACCACACTATTTTCCCAAGAAAACTCATGAAAAAACACAGGTCAGTGAACAAATTAAGAGAAGCAACAGAGATTTGGTTTCTGAGACGAATGTTATGAATACCTTGGACGGCCAGAATAACTAACAACGATTGTTTGGAAGAGGCCAATGAAAGAAGATCTTTATATACAACAATAAGAAAGAGAGAAACACTGTTCTTTGGCCACATAATTAGAAGAGAGACATTAAAGAACATCGTGACAACTGAAAAGATCAGTGGAAAACGGGGTAGAGGCAGACCAAGAGTGATGATGCTGATGGGCTAAACGATGGTATGGAGGAATATCATCAATAGAGCTGTTCTAATCAACCAGGGATCGTGATCTGTGGAGACGCATGAGCACCTAGGCCAGTTGGCAGGGCACATGATGATGTTGCTAAGGGAGATAACCATCACACTTACAAAGTCTTTGACAAGCGTTATGTACCTGAATTGGCAAGCATCCTTGTTGTAGAATTTGTGAAATCTTTTCCAACTGGTATGCAGATCAGCAGGTCTTAAATC